AATTTAGGGTTAACAGTTATCTTCCCCTCCTATCCGTATACACTGCCTCTTAATGTAACTCTCTACCTGGAGGGGCCCCCTGAACCTTGTACAGAGTGAACCTCACAGTAAAAAATAAAACGATCAAATTCACTTACAAAACAGAAACAAATACTTTAACGTTCCTAGATATCATCTTACACTGTAATGACAATAACCTAAAACTAAGTATCCATCGCATATCAGCTAATAAAAATGGTCTCATAAATTTCTATTCTCACCATAACAACAAAATAAAATCCTTAATAATCACCGGATTCTATTTAAGCACACTCAGAATTTATAGTCGACGATATTCATGTGATGAGGGGAAATAGATTGAAAATACTTTTAAGCTCCCGCAATACCCTAATTATTTTGTATTCATTACGAAACAAAATGCTTGTAAAATATTTCAAAATAGAATCGTAGACCATTCTGACAAATAGAAATATATTTTACTCCACGCACCAATTCTATCACAACTACAATTGGGAAGAATTTGTTTAACTACTTCCAAAACAGTAAAAAAAAAAATTAATACAAAACAAAATTATTAGCTAAAAATTGAAAGGGGGAATTTACTCTATCATCTGTAATAATTGCCATGGAGAATACATAGGAGAAACCTCAAGGTATTTAAAAAAGATTATATAAATACAAAAGGGATCTTTTACAAAACAACACATTAAATACAGTAGTTGCTGATTGTCATGAGACGGATTATAATGTTTATTTAAAAAAATGCTACTTAATTAAAAGAGAAAGCAATTTACAAAGATAAAAGTGTATAGAAAGTGCTTTAATTACAAGATCATCCACAGTAACTTTGTATCCGGGGTCTTACAACATTTCACATTTCTTGGCAGATCTATTATGACAATGCGGGATACTAAATAAGAAAGGTGATAAAAATAAACTGCTACAAAAGCAACCGACGTTTCCTAGAAAGGAGGTGGATGGGCAGGATGCAAGTGTGTGCACATGAAGAGTTGGAATTTGGGAACTTTTGTTAACCATATTTTCATAAAATCTGGGGGTCTGGGTATGAATTTTCATATTTGGGCATGTACATCATAAGTACAATAAGTGGATGGAAATAATAAGCGTTATATTTTAAATTGGATTTGATAAATGCAAACACAGGAAGTCTTTTAATCTTTTCCAATGCCCTAATTCAACACAAAACAAAATGCTTGTAAAATATTTAAAATTAGAAGAGTGGACCATTATGACAAACCTCTACGAATCAAAACATAGTGCTCGACCCATCAATTCTATTGCAACTACAATTGAAAAAAAAAAAAACTAGAACTATACATATATATATAATAGGCGATCATGTATGTTTCGACACATGACTGCCGAGACTGATATTTTTTCTGTTGTGTACATTTGTTTGTGAGAGCAGTAATTTTGTTAAGAAAGGTGAAATGGGGAAAAAAACCTGGGCGCAGATTAATGTTTGGGTAATTTTCTATGGCGGCACTCTCTAGAATTTTCCCAGATTCATAAAATCAGAAGAAAATTGTTGAATACATCAACAAAGATATGACAATATTCTCCACACGTGACAAATACTAATGTTATTTTCAGTTAACAATATGAAAATAGTGTTTCTCTACATTCCAGTTGCTAAGAACATTATCTTTTGGCTTTGTATTAGTTAAATTGTTCAATTAATTTCATTTCGTATTTTGCTTTGATAAAGTCCACATTAGACGAAACGCATCAGCAATTACTAGTTTTCCTATTGTGATTTTTATTCATAAATATTGTCTTCTATACTGGTTAAATCGGAGAAATATATATATATATATATATATATATATATAACGTCATCCACAGACTGTTTCGCTGTTTCACAGCTAATCATTGTGGCTAGACATCCGGTTGCCTCTAGCTAGGATCGAAACCCGACTAAATTGGTGTCAGTCGGAGATTCTAACCATTAAGTCGTCGGTAGGGATGAAAGTGGATTTTTAGTGTATTTATTTTTAGAAACACGCCCAGTGACCGACAGTGACTCAATTCGCATCTGCGAAGAGTCTCGCTATATAGCTATAATAGTCACTGTTTGCCAACCCACACCTCCTCCCCAGAGAGCTCAACTGAAATTGATATTTCAGGAGCCTATATATATATATATATATATATATATATATATATATATATATATATATATATATATATATACGTATACGATGTGTATTTATTAATATATATAATAACTCTGTTATATTTAAACCAGCACTATATGTGTTATATATTAGAATTATATATATGACTATTTATAGGACGCATCATAAAGCTGGAATTTATCTCGTATTTCGGCCTGAAGATGTCTGCCCCAAACGTGTGAAACGCGTATTTGAATGTTTTTTTTACTTTGTCTCATACATGAATATGTTTTCGATATACAACTATCACTCTATAACGTACGTTAACTTGGCTTTTATCTGATCAGCGTGCCATTCGTGCCGATATTAATAAACTGTTACTTTTCTTTAATGTTATTGAGTTCTTTACAAAAATAATGTCTGAGAGCTGGTGATCGTTTGCTTCGTCACGGTGCCATTCGTGCTCGCAGTAATAAACACAGATTGCAAAACATTGATATTCCCAAACGTCTACGATGTGGGTTGCCAAAAAAAAAAAAAAATCTGAATTCGGTAGGTGTCACGAGTCGATACTTTCTGAAGAAATCTTTCATGTCACGTGATTCTAAACGGAATGATTTACGTCTTTATTTTTTATTTTATTTTTTTTTCCAACGGAATTTGAAAGCAGGTTTGGCAATTTTCAAAATGGTTGATATCAGAAAATAAAATAAAAGCGTGTTCGTGAACACAGATTTAAAAAGAAAGAAAATTAGGGGAAACTGCTGCTAGTCGCGTTTCAGGAAGAAATATTTGGAGTAAAATACATATATTCTGTGTGCATTCGCGTTTCAAACTTTGTTTATTTCCACTTGAAGACAAATCACAATATGGCCGACCTTCAACAAGAAGAAATTGGAAAGAAGAAGTTTTTTTTTTTTTGTGAAGTGTTTCGTCATTTAGCATTTGAAAAAAAAAAAAATTACATTAAAAATTTTCATCGTTACCTCTCCTTCTTGCGCATGTGTAATAACGTCACCGTAAACAATTTTCAATCGGTAAATTCGTAAAGGACGAAACACGTCGCTTGAATCAGTTTGTTCACATCTATCTATCACTATCTCAGTATGTTCATATCTGCCTATCCATCTTGACATCCATCTATCTACCTCAGTCGAGGTTGTATTTTGCTTTTAAATCTAAATAAATCGTTCACTTGCCAGTAATTTACAATCGCCTGATGAGATGCATTGATACGCATCGAAACATGACTGCAATTGTGTAGCGATTTTTACATGTTTTCGGTGTAATATATATATATATATATATATATATATATATATATATATATATATGTCAGGTCATCCCATAAGTTCTGTCCGAATTTTAACTTTTTGTTAAAATGAACGAAATTTAAAGAGTATTTTATAATGTCTAATGGAGCTGAACATTACTTTTTATGTTTAGATGCATTTAAACTGATCAAATTTTATTTCAGAGAACAATAAAATTAAATTTTGTTTGATTAAAACCCTGCTAACAATGGAAGTACCCAAGAATCATTTGAGGCACATAATGCTTTATGAGTTCAAGAAAGGAAACTCAGCAGCCAAAGCGGCTAGAATCATTCACTCAGTTTATGGAGAGGAATGTGTGAATGAAAAAACTTGCAGAAGATGGTTTGCAAAATTCAGAGGTGGAGATTTCACCCTTGAAAATGAAGATCGAACCGGACGTCCAGTTGAGTTTAATGAAAAGCTTCTTGAAGCAGCCCTTGAAGAAAATCCTGCTTTATCAGTTAAGGAATTTGCAGTAGTTCCTAAACTTGGAAAATGGGCGCCTCATGAATTGTCTGAAAACAACCTCAAATCCAGAGTTGATATCTGCTCTTCTCTCCATTCTCGCCATCTTGTTTCAATTTTTTGGGATAGACTTGTGACTGGCGACGAAAAATGGATCTTTTATTGAAATGTTAAGCGTCGGAGACAGTGGCTTGGTAAAGGGGAATGACCCCAGCCGTAGCCGAGAAGAGAACTTCATGGGCAAAAGGTTCTTCTTTCAATCTGGTGGGATCGCCAAGGAATAATTCAAATTGAATTCTTACCACCTAATGCAACAATTAATGCTCAAATATACTGCCAGCAATTAGAGCATTTGAACCAATCTTTGAGGAAAAAAAAGACCTGCTCTAGTGAATCGAAAAGAAGTGATGTTTCATCAGGACCATGCGCGACCCCACGCAGCAAAAATCCCGTCACAAAAGATCGAAGAACTTGGTTGGGAGAAAAAATTCTTCATCCACCTTATTCTCCCTATCTTTCTCCTTAAGACTATCATTTGTTTCGGAGCTTACAGAATCATTTGGAAGAAACAGCTTTTGTAACACAGGAAGAGGTTAAAACTGACATTTGTGAGTTCTTCAAATCAAAGCCAAAAAATTTTACAGTAATGGAATTAGTAAATAAATTAATAGATGGAAGGAAGTCATAGATAATCAGGGAAAATACATTGTTGGTTGAATCTGTAATTAAATGTAACATTTGGTCACTTGTTTTCTTTATTCAAAATTCGAACAGAACTTATGGGATGACCTTATATATATATATATATATATATATATATAGTGAGAGAGAGAGAGAGAGAGAGAGAGAGAGAGATATGCGGCCCTGTGGGCGTTGAATATTTTCCAACCTACAAAAGTTGTAAATGTAAGCTACTTTATCGGCTTACTGTCACATCACAAGTTCCGGTACGATCATCAACGTCAAGTCTGGTCAGTACATAGATGAGTGACCACTTGCAAAATACCAGGTGCTAGAAGCCTGGATGTGCGGGTGGTGTAATGGATAATGACTCGGAATTATTAAATGGCGAGTCGATTCCGCATACGATCACCGAAGTTAAACAACGTCGAGCCTGGTCAGTACCTAGGTGGGTGACAGCATGGGAATACCAGGTGCTGAAATCTTTGATGTGCGGGTGGTGTAATAGATACTGGTTCGGAGTTGTTCATCGGAGAGCCGAGTTCCAATTTCCATTGGGTTCGCTTTATTCACTTACACTCAAATACCCCTTGGAAAGGTAAGAATTTCCTCTTCTACCCCCAGGTATGGGTTAATTAGTAAGACTTGTATCACTAAACCATTATTCTTCTTCCCCGAAAATCTTACAAACTAAAAATATTTTTTTGCTTTAAATAACCTGAAAAAAGCTTGATAAGCCGTGAAAAATGAATGAATCAATCAAATAGTGATTACCTACACCTTAAAATGAGGGATCAGTTTATATATTGATTGTAACGTAGAAATGATCCCCAATTTATAGCCACGTAATTTCTTGACTGTTGATAAGCCATAGAAAACCATTCAATCAATGATTAGATTAGCTACACTGGCGTGTCTTAGATTTACTTACATTTTCTAGAATTTAAATGTATAGAAACTAATCTGATCACAAAATGAGGGCTCAGTTTATATATTGAGTGCAATGCAGAATTCATCCCCCACTTTATATCTACATTATAATTTCTTGATTGTTGATAAGCCATAGAAAACCAGCCAATCAATCAATGAAATAGTGATTAGCTACACAGGTACGTCTTTTAGATTTATTTACATTCTCTAGTATATAAATGTACAGAAGCTACCGTGGCCTTAAAGTGAGGGATCAGTTTGTAGATTGATTGGCATATAGAATTGATCCCCCACTTTATATCCACGTTATAATTTCTTTAATAAATTTTGGTTAGATACGAATACAACTCTTCTTCCCCCAACTATGGGTTAATTATTAAGACTTGTATCATGAAACTATTATTATCTAAAAAAATTCTTATAAGAAAGTGGATGGCAGAACGTGGTCTGGGAGAGCTGCAAGGGATAGCGGGAGGTGGAGCGCCATGATCGCCTACGTCCTGAAAGGACATGGCACATAAAAAGAAAGAATTAGTTGATCATTATTATCTCTTAAAAGTCTAAAAATATTTGCGGGTTTTAAATAACGTGCAAAAGGGTGTTAAGCTTATAAAATCAATCAATATCTAAAGCCTAACCATCAGAAGTATGAATGTAGGTCATTACTTAAAGAAGTAGGAGGGTACAAATGAGAGATTTAAAATTGACGAGGTTTTCAATTTCACTGAAGCAGACTTCAACGTTTGGGAGCGTTATTGCGCATTCTATCTTTTCTGTGATTATTTTAAAATTTTTTCCTTTTCTTTTCTTTATTTTCTTTCCCTTTTTTTTTTAAATTTCATTTTCGTTTCTTGACCAGCCTGAGCGATCATTGGTAAGGTCTTCTCACCTTTCGATGACCATGTCCATCGCCCTCATGACCCTTTTGAAGATGTCCTTGAAGCGAAGATGAGGTCGCCCTCGTGCCCTCTTGCCAATGGCCAGTTCCGCGTCCAAAAGGAGCTTGGGAATCCTCGGTTGATTCGCGTGTTTTGTCGTCGCGGTGAAGCAACGCTTTTCTCCTCTCTTTCTGCAGGCCTTTCAGGGTTTTTTTATTTTTCTATCGTTTTTCTTTCTCTCTTTTTCTTTTATTTTCCCTTTTATCTTCCATATTTCTTTTCTTTTTTTCTTTCTCCCTTTCTTTTCTTACTTTTTCTTTACTTTCTTCAAGGAAACCTCTAAAAACTCTTACTCCAAACCACCTTCTGCCTTGTATGTCTTGTCTCTTTAACTTCTGAGAGAAGGAACTAGATAACCTCAAAATACACGGTGCCATTGACCACAGCCTCGCATAATGAGCTACCTGAATAAATGCTTTGATTTGGTTTGTTTTACGGCATATCAACACCTCAGTGGGTTATACAATACCGACAAGATTGTTAATGCTGGTAATACATTTTCCAAGAGTGTATTGCTGGTAATATTTTTTTCTTCAAAAATGCATGTCTGGTAATATTTTTTTTCTTCCAAAATGTATTGTTGCTATTAAAACCTATTTTTACACTTTCATAGTGTTTTGACCCCAGTTTAGGGGTTAACTATTTGCCCATAGCTGGGACCCTAACAGGTGCTACCACTCCAGGCCAGGGTGAACCTGAAAACATCAGCATTTAAGGGGTGGCTTCACGCTTCTCAAAACCTGATCAGAAGCCTTGCTGTTGGATGTAGTTTATCGCCTTACCCGGGACGCGGGCGTAGCTTATCGCCTTACCCGGGACGCGGGCGTAGCTTATCGCCTTACCCGGGACGCGGGCGTAGCTTATCGCCTTACCCGGGACGCGGGCGTAGCTTATCGCCTTACCCGGGACGCGGGCGTAATCGCCTTACCCGGGACGCGGGCGTAGCTTATCGCCTTACCCGGGACGCGGGCGTAAACATCGCCTTACCCGGGACGCGGGCGTAGAAATATCGCCTAAATTACCTGACGCGGGCGTAACTTATCGCCTTACCCGGGACGCGGGCGTAAGATCGCCTTACCCGGGACGCGGGCGTAAACGAAATCGCCTTACCCAAGGACGCAAAGCGTAGCTTATCGCCTTACCGGGACGCGGGCGTAGCTTATCGCCTTACCGGGACGCGGGCGTAATTGAAAAAGCCTTGGCGGGACGAAGGCGTAGCTTATCGCCTTACCCGGACGCGGGCGTAAAGAATCGCCTTTAAAAAAACGCGGGCGTAGCTTATCGCCTTACCCGGGACGCGGACGTTGCTTATCGTCTTACCCAGGATACCCTGAATAAATGATAATGAATTTAGTGGATTATATATTTTTCAATACGTTCACGCGCTGTGTTATTATCTATCAGCTTTAATATAGAGCATCAAACAAAATCTGTCTGCAATGTACACACAGTCAAGCGAAATTTCCTTTGTAGGAGGAAGTTCAACCTTCAAATTCGTTTGAGTTACCCCATTATTTGCCCTTTGCTTGCCGTTTCCTATAAACAGATTCCAGATCGAACCAGTCTCAGCGTCATATGCAAAAGCGTGAATGCGTACATGTGCCAAGTCGAGCGTTGGGCTTCCGGTCTGAAAGATCCCCACGTGCTAAATTCGGCAAGTAAACGTCGATTCTCCCGCAGAGAATTCCCGCCGAAATCCCGCCACGTGCTTCGAATTCGCCGTCGGTAGCTATCAATGGAAGAGAGGTTGATTAGGGTCGGTGGTTGGCGCCTAGAGATCGAGTTCGATTGTTTGACCCAGACAGAGTCGGGATAGCTGCACGCCCTTCCTGAGTTTGGAAAGATGGGGCTAGCTAAGTCTATTAAACGAAAATAGAAAAGAAAAAAAAAAGGAAAAGAAAATAGAAAAGAAAAAAAAACAGACCAAAAAGACAAAAGAACAAAACGGGAAAAGAAAAAAAAGGAAAAGAAAAAAGTGAAAAGGAAAATGTAAAAAAGAAAAAGAAAAAAGAGAAAAGGAAAATGTAAAAAAGAAAAGAAAAAAGAGAAAAGGAAAATGTAAAAAAGAAAAAGAAAAAAGAGAAAAGGAAAATGTAAAAAAGAAAAAGAAAAAAGGAAAATGTAAAAAAGAAAAAGAAAAAAAGAGAAAAGGAAAATGTAAAAAAGAAAAAGAAAAAAAGGAAAAAGAAAGAAAAAAGGAAAAAAACGAAAAGAAAAGATAATAAAAAAAGAAAACGCAAAGGAAATGGGAGTTAGAAGGATACTTATACTTTTTTTTTTACTAATGTTCACCCTATAATAGGCACAAGAGCCACTCAAGGTAGTGAAGGTGGTCGTTGTGTGCCAGCTGCAAAAGTAAGAGGCGCAGTTCATACGGATATGTGCGAAAGGTTAGCTCTAGATTTGAAGAGAATAAAGAGAAAGAAAGGAAAAAGAAAACAATGAAATCAAAATGGAAAGAAAGAACAAAAAGGAAAGAAAAATTTCATTGTAGAAGGCCGGAGCATACAACGGCCGAAACGTCATGAATACGACAATAAAGATGAAAAAATAGTTCGAACAGTGTAAATAATATATATATATATATATATATATATATATGTGTCTGTGTGTAAGAAGACAAGATAGGCAAGAATTGAAAAAAAAAAAACATGAATGGGAAAAAGAAAGCGGTTAACAGAGACGTGATCAATGAAAAAGATCGATAGTTGAAATGCTTGCCAAAGTTTTAATTCGATCTGATGTTGTGGCCTGTTTGGAATTAATTCATTGAAACATCGGAAGAGGAGGTGTGGTTATGGTAAAAATGCCAGAAAGAAGTAAAACAGAGAAATCCAAATTAATTGAAGAAAAATAGAAAAAAAAAAAAAACTGTTTCTCCCGAGATGAAATAAGTAAAAATCAATAATAGTAATAAATTAACTAAAATTACCGGGCGAGGGCGATGCTGAGAAGGTGATGCAGTAGAATAATTAATAACTGAAAGAAAATGTTAAAGTGAAAGTGAAACGGAAATAACAGTATACTATTCCAAGGAGAGGTCTTTGAATTGGACTAAGGCGCCGTGGCCTTAAGTTGGCTATTTCTTGTTTTAGTTAATCTTAAATAACTGAACACATTCCGGACTATTTAAAGTGTTCAGACTATCATCCTCATCTTTGTTGCCATATTTATCACAACGTTTCGGCCGTTGTACGCTCCGGCCTTCTTCAGGTGGTTGGAATGTCGAACTGAACCCTTTATTTCGCTCGCTGGAGTAGACTGTTCTAGTTCCACGTGCCATGTCTAATGGATGTCAGTTATCTCCTGTTAATTCCCCTCTCTACTAATTCCCTTAGCCAGGTATTGAGCTCACACTCTTTGGGTCCTGTCAATGGATCTAATGCCTTTATCCACTGTGCCATGTGTCCACCTGAAGGAGGACGGAGCGTACAACGGCCGAAACGTTGTAATAACTATGGTAAGAAAGATGAGGATGATAGTCCGAACAATGTAAATAATGTACATAATACATCATCTCAGAAACATTCCATACTGTCTACAAGCATATATATACATCTTTCATTAAAATGGACCGGCAAGGAAGATTTAATTTATATTTTATTGAGTATTTCC